AAAAAAAAAAAAATGTTGCCTGGGGCATGAAATTAAGTGACTTGCCCATGGACAATGTCTAGTATGTGACAGAGATGAGACTACTGGTTTGTTTTAAATAATATTTTATCCCCCCCCACTACATATAAAATTGTAAAAAAACATTCATTTTTTAAACATTTTGAGTTCCAAATTCTCTCCTACCCTCCTTCCTCTCCCCTTCCCTGAGATGGTAAGCAATTTTATATAGGTTTTTAATGTGCAATCATGCAAAACATATTTCCATAAAAGTCATGTTATAAAAGAAGATACAGATTTTTAAAAAATCCACAAAAAAGTGGAAAATAGCATGCTTTGACCTGCATTCAGACTCCATCAGTTTTTTCTCTAGATGTGAATAGTATTTTTCATCATGAATCCTTTGGAATTGTCTGGGGTTATTTTGTTGCTGAGAATAGCTAAGTCATTCACAGTTGATCATCTGATCATTGTACAATATTGCTGTTACTGTGTACAATGTTCTTCTGGTTCTGCTCATTCACTTTGCATCAGTTTGTGAGTCTTTCTAGTTTTTTCTGAAATTGTCCTGCTTGTCATTTTTACAGCACAATAGTATCCCATCACAATGATATACCACATCTTGCTCAGTCATTCCCCAATTGATGGGCATACCTTCAATTTCCAATTTTTTTGCCCCCATAAAAAGAGCTGCTATAAATATTTTTGTACAAATAGGTCCTTTCTCCCCACCCCCTTTAAAAAAATCCCTTTGGGTTAGAAACCTAGTAATGGTATTACTGGATCAAAAGATGTGCACAGTTTTATAGCAATATTTTTTATCATAAGTCCTTCAGAATTGTCTTGGATCAGACAATGATGTTTTAATCATGGTTCTGATGCTTCCTGTCACTTTGGATTCCTCTTTCTTATCCCTGACCTCTCCCCCCCGCTTTTCTTACATACCTTCCTGAGTGTTTCCACTATGGGAAAATTCAGACTCTTATCCATTGGGGCTGTCATATACCATCTTGAACCTGAAACTGAAATTTTGGTAATGACATTTCCTCAAGCATGATATTTGATATTGGGAGGTATATCCTCTGGGAAAATGGGCATAACATTCAAGTCAGTGTTGTGCAGTGGATCATACACTAGGTTTAAGGTCAGGAGTTAGTCATTTTGAATTATGACTCAGCTACTACCTGTGTGATCTTGGGCAAGTCAGTCACTTAGCCTCTCTGGGTCTCATGTTACTCATCTGTAAGGTGGAGTAGATATATTTGATAGCCTCCAAGGCCCTTTCCCACTCTAAATCTATGATCCCATGACCCTGTGGAACTAAACCTTGAGTCAGGTCTTAATGGGTTAGTCATTAGGCATGCCAGAAGGGGCTGGAAGCAGGTTAGGGACATTAGAACTCAATTTTTCATTACTTGATTGGTGGCCTTAAAAATAGCTACATAAGGGGCAGCTAGGTGGTGCAATGGATAGAACACCGGCCCTGGAGTCAGGAGGACCTGAGTTCAAATTTAACCTCAGATACTTGACACTTACTAGCTGTGTGACCCTGGGCAAGTCACTTAACCCCATTGCCTAGCCCCCCCCCAAAAAAAAACAGCCTGAAAGAATGACCGAAGGGCCTAATTCATGTTCAGGGATTAACTTAATCACCTGTAAGAACCTATCATTCTTTATTTTGTGGGGATGGAGTTTTATCTCAGAAGGAATGTGGTTGTTGCTTAGTTGTTTCAGTTGTGTACATCTCTGTGACCTCTTTTTGGGGGTTTCTTGGTAGAGATACCGGAGTGGTTTGCCATTTCCTTCTCTAGTTCCATTTACAGACAAGGAAACTGAGATAAACAGGGTTTAGTGGCTTGCCTAGCGTCCCATAGCTAGTAAGTATCTGAGGCCATATTTGAACTCAGGTCTTCCTGACTGCAGACCCAGCACTGTCTCCACTGTGCCACCTAGCTACCATAGCCTGTAAGTCAGCAGCTCCAGCTCCCTGTTCAAAATTGGGGAGGAGGATTTTAAAGTTTGCCAGCAGAAGTCCTAGGCTCCTATAATGCAGAAAACTCTAAAAGATTCCCTTGGATGTTGTAGAAAGCCCTGAAGGCATCATTGGTCTTTTATACCTGGAGTAAAAAAAGTAATTTCTTAATTATTAATGAAGAAAAAATATTTTGGATCACTGTTATTCTATGCATGTTAAGAACTCAAGATGGGATAAAAAAAAGCTGCCAAATTATAGGAGACTTTAGTGAAGTGTAATGAGACTGGTACCTGTACTGGGTAAAACTGTATGTAAATAAAGTTGACTTTTTATGGTCTACTAGTTGCTTGTTACAAGTTTCCCTAATTTGAAACCCCATCTGCTCTACTGATACCTCTTTCCGGGGTACTACAGTGGAAAGAAAATTAGCCAAATCCCAGACCTGTTTATCAATACTTGTGTGACCCTGATCAAATCATTTAACCATTTTGGGCACCAGATCCTCTTCTGTTAAATAAGGAAGGTTACATTAAACAGCCTCTATGGTCCTTTCTAACTCCAAATACCTTATTAGTCATTGCTATTATTCAGTTATATCTGACTCCATTTGGTGTTTTCTTGGTAAAGTAAGTAGTTTGTGAGTAGTGAGTAGTTTGCTATTTCCTTCTCTAACTCATTTTACAGATGAGGAAACTGAGGCAAACAGGGTTAAGTGACTTGCCTAGAGTACTACAAGTAGTTAGAGTCTGAGGCTAGATTTGAACTTATGTCTTCCTGACTCCAGGCCTAATGCTCTATCCACTGCGCCATCTAGCTGCCACCATCTGGACATGGCATACAGAAGCAAAAACAGTATTCTAGGGGTGGTGACCCACAGTTTAAGAAGTGCTGAAGGGGTGGACTGGAAAAAATTTAAGAAGCCCTGAGTAAATGGGGTCTAATTGGAGCAGATAGAGTGGGACCCCCTCCTCCTTTGTTCTAAACACTGAGTTTCTGTTAATATAACCTAAGATTGAATTAAATTTGGGAGCTGTTACATCACACCATTGGCTTATATGGAGTTTGGAGAAAGAAAGAAAGAAAGAAAGAAAGAAAGAAAGAAAGAAAGAAAGA